GAGCACACCCTAGACAGATCACCAGTCCATCGCAGCAGATTAAACGTACTTTATGAAAATAACAATCTTTAATCAGGTATTAAACATTGTTTTCATTAAGCTTACATTTGTGTATTAAAATGTATTTTTATCAGTCTGAACCAGTGGCGATTGCTCTAAGACTGCAAGGGAAGCTCAGCTTCCCCTAAAATGTCAAAAAATAAGTGATCAAATATATACTGTTGTGTGTACATGTCATTGACTAAATATGTGCTACAACACGCTCAACCTTTGTTCAGAATTAGCTTTTTATCACTGGTAATGACACGGCTTTCCTCTCACTCATTCCCGCAGCTTCACAGTGCTTTAAACAGTGAGTTCAATAGCGAAGCAAAAATGCTGGGCTTTGTCCCGCCCATCGGACGCTCAGCGTCTCTGGGGGTCTATGGGGCAGCCTCTGCTGCAGCGAAACGAGACGAGTTATTGGATAAATGCTGGGCTTTGTCCCGCCCATCAGACGCTCAGCGTCTCTGGGGGTCTATGGGGCAGTGGGCTGGTCTCGGCTGGCCCGGATGCTCAGCCTCTGCATGATGATTGGATGATCTGTCTGAGGCTGAATCCCTTTTTTATTGACAGCGAAATGAGCGAATCAGCAATCTTGAAATTGAGCTTCCCCTCCTTGAAAGACCAGCATCTGCCACTGGTCTGAACATAAGACTAGTCATGCATGGTCATACTAAGTGACAATATTAAGGAAAAAGGTGATTTGACTGAATACCAGCAGATGAATGAGGGATTCAAAATTAATGGAGATGGGCTAATTTTGAAGGATCATAATGATTTCGTTAAGAGGCTAAAAACAGGCTTGAGCTTATAAAATTTGAAAATTAAGGGGTCAACTGCCAAACAATCAGTTTTACAGCATAACCTCTTTGCCTTTGTTAGCTGATTAATAAATGCATCATATGATCTTATCTTTATCATATGAGGTTGTTAGAAATGGTTTGTTGTTACAGGCATCTTCTTCATCTGCATTTGAGTACAAAAGCGGGCTATGAAACATTTTGAACTGGCCACACATCAGTTTATACACTTTTGGGGGGTATTTTGACCTTGCTTTGACAACTGATGAATTAGAGTAATTTGTTATATTAAACTCATAATGGGCTATATTGAAATGTGGTTATGCTACTCTAATAAATATTAGCTCGCAGCAATGGAAATTCAGATTAATTTGTGTATGATCAGGGGCCATTACCTGTCATATTCTGTAATAGTTGTAGCATTATGTCTAGTTTGTAACATTCGGCTTTAATCAAAGCAGAGTTAGAATATACTGTGGGGTTCTAATAAAGGTTCTGATCATATACAAACAACACCATGGATGCAAATAATAAATTATGAAATCATCTGCTAATGAAATAGATACTCAAACACCCATTGAGGTTGAGAGGATGCACTTATGATCTCGCCTTTTGAGATCACATATTCATGTTGACCTAATATGTGAGAACAGATGCTCATCCTGATCTCATATTGTTACCTCACAAGTTCATCCCTATTTCACCTTGTGACCCCAGATGTTCATCCTGCTCTTACCTTGTGACCCCATATGTTCATCAAAACATCACCTTATGACCTGAGATTTTCAACCTAATTTCACCTTGTGACATCACATGATTGTCTTATTTGCGCCTTCTGACATCATATGTTTATGCCTAAATCATGATGTGAGAACGGACATTCATTCTGGTCTCACCCCAGATATCAGATGTTAATCTTATTCCAACTTAATGATATCAAAGTGTTACATCAGATGTTCCTCCTGATATCAATGTTTGACATCACATATTCATGCTGATCTAACAGTGTCAGAACAGATGTTCATCCTGATTACACCTTCTGACCCCAAATGTTTATTTTTATTTTACCTTGTGATCCCAACTGTTCTATTGAATTTCACCTAATGACCTCAGGTTTTTATCATGATTTGTTTGTGACATCACATGGTTTATTTGTTCACACCTTCTGACATCAGACCGTTTTGCTTTTCTCACCTTATGACATTGAAAGTCCTTCTTATTTTAGAGGTTCATGCCAAACTCAGCTTGTGACATCAGATGTTAATCTCATTCTTCATTTATGACATAATTTGTTTGTCTTGATTTCATCTTGTGACACCAGACATCATCCTGATTTTACCTTCTGACCCCAAATGTTGATCCTGATTTCACTTTGTGATCTCAACTGTTCATTGAAATTCCACCTTATGACCTCAGGTTTTTATCCTGATTTGATCTTTTGACCCCAGATGTTGATCCTTATTTCACCTTATGATCCAAAATGTTCATCAAAGTTTCACTTTATGACCTCAAGTTTTTATCCTATTTTTTTCTGGCATCAGATGGTTTTCTTGTTCCCACCTTGTGACATTGAAAATCATTCTTATTTTAGAGGTTCATGCTGAACTAAGCTTAAGACATCAGATGTCCGTCGTCATTTCACCTAGTGACGCCAGGCATTCATCCTGATTTCAGCTTGTGATTCCAACTCTTCATCCAAATTTCACCTTATGACTTCAGGTTTTCATCCTAAATTGACCTTTTCACCCCATTTGTTGATCCTGATTTCACCTTGTGATCCCAAATTTTGGTCCAAGTTTCATTTCATGACCTCAGGTTTTTATCCTGATTTGATCTGTTAACCCCAGATGTTGATTTTGATTTCACCTTGTGATCGCAAATGTTCATCCGTGTTTCACTTTATGACCTCAGGTTTCTATCCTGACTATAGTTTGTGACATCAGACCATTTTACTGAAAATCATTCTTAATTTAGATGTTATTGCTGAACTCAGCTTATGACATCCAAAGTTCATCCTGATTTTGCCTTATGACATCACATGTTCATGCCTACATCACATTGTGTGAACAAATGTTCATCCTGTTTTCCCCATGAAATGAGGTCCCGTATTCACTAAGAATCCTAAGACTAAAAATAGTCTCTAAGAGCTATTTTTAGTCCTAGGATTCTTAGGAAAAATCTTAGAATTTCTCAAATTTTTTTATTTTTCTTTGAATTTTCTCTCGGTAAGACACAAGTTTTTCACGAAGCATCTTAGGCCTTAAGAGAGCTCCTAATGTAAGGAAATGTTAAGAGTAGTTAGGAGGACTTTTAGTGAGTCTAAGAGTGTCCTAAGCAGGAAAGACGGTGGAGATAAATTCTCCAAACCACAATAACAGTGAATTAATAATACGCTAACAACTAATTAAACACCATTAAGACCCATTTATCCAAAAGGTTTGGTTCTTATTCAAAATAAAATTTCCTTAAATATTATTTTAATATTTACTTAATAAGGTTTCTATAAATATTATTTTGATAAATAAAGGCAGCTACTTAAACACCATTTAGAACCCTTTTATCCAGAAAGGCTTGGTTATTTTTCAAAATAATAATTCCTTAAATATCATTTTATTATTTCCTTAATAATATTTCTTTAAAAGTTTTTAATAAATAAATCAGCTAATTGGTCATCCAGAATGTTGGTTTAATTCAGCAAATCACTCTTTAAAATGTTGTTTTATCAAAATAATGTTTTATCTGATTTTGCATGTGAATGGTTGTTTAAATGCAGACCAATTATTGCCTAAGTTATGTAATGGAAATTCTTGTATTAAGTGCTCTAAGGTGTTCCAAAGTGTATGACCTTTAGGTTACCTCTCTCCTCAGAACATCTGTGTTAGAGGAGGAAGCTGTAAAAGCCAGTATCAGACGTTTAATGGTTAAAACCCATGCTTTAGGGTGATGTCTCAGGAAGAGCAGATGGTCTGCTCATAGATAACTTTGTTACCCCTGACCCGAGGAGGGTCTAGGGCCATAAAACACAGACTCTTTGAAGTTGAGGTAACACCCACATACTCTTTAAATACTGTGTGTAAATGTTGATCGGATTAAATATACAGTAAACTAGCAGAGTCTCCTGTACGAGGATCAATATGTTTAACACATGCACCAGATAAACAGAAGCTCGAATGGTAGAGCGCTCGCTTAGCATGCCAAAGACAGCAGGAGCGACGCCTGTATTCTCCAGTGTTAAGTATTTTAAAAAGTAATTGCTGACATTGTTGTAAAATTTATAGTAGAAGGAACGACCAGGCGATTCATCGGTCACACTATCGTGCAAACGGCCACCTCGTCCTTGCATATGCGTACTACATGTAAAAGGGTGATGATCAAATATTAAGGATAATTTAGTTCACATAATGTAGACCAAGTCCTACGACATTAGTTTTTTTTCCTTTGGGTTAAAGTTAATATATGCACTAGATGAACAGAGGAAAAGAACTATTGTCTGTTGTGTAGATTTATCTTCTAACTTCAGTGATAGCAATTGCTGACATTGTTGTATAATTCATAGTAGAAGGAACGACCAGGCGATTCATCGTTCACACTATCGTTCACACGGCCACCTCGTCACTGCTTATGCGTGCTACAGGTAAAAGGGTGATGATGAAATATTAAAGGATAATTCAGTTCACATAATGTAGACCAATTTCTATCCAACATACTGAGTGTGTCAGGTCTTTGTTTGCCAATGAAAACGTGGAATTAACTCAAATGGTAGAGCGCTCACTGAGCATGTGAGAGGCAGTGGGAGCGACGCCCGCATTCTCCACGGAAAAATCACTTTATACGGATTAATGACATTAGTTTTTTCCTTTGGGTTAAAGATAATAATACATGCACTAGATAAATACAGAAAAATAAGTATTATCTCTCGTGTATGTTTGTCTTTTAACTTTAGTGATATTAATTGATGACGTACAATTCATAGTAGAAGGAACGACCAGGCGGTTCATTGTTCACACTATCGTTCACACGGCCGCCTCGTCCCTGCGTATGCGTGCTACAGGTAAAAGGGTGATGATCAAATATTAAAGGATAATTCAGTCCATATAATGTAGACCAATTTCTATCCAACATACAGAGTGGGTCAGGTCTTTGTTTGCCAATGCAAACGTGGAATTAGCTCAAATGGTAGGGTGCTCACTTAGCATGTGAGAGGCTGTGGGATCGACGCCCGCATTCTCCATGGAAAAACCACTTTATACGGATTAATGACGTTAGTTTTTTCCTTTGGGTTAAAGGTAATAATACATGAAGTAGATAAACAGAGGAAAAGATATGTTAGAATTATGATTATTGATTGATTAATCTTTATCAATAATTATAATTAAAAATCATAATTTGACTAAATTAATTTCTTAACCAAAATCCTCATTTATGAATCGAGACCAGAGATGTCTTCTGGTGTTGCAATTGTGGCTCGATAATTATAACCGTTAAATACTCAGAAATGATTAATAACTATTACCAGAGATGTCACTGTTTAATCGACCGTTTTTGCCGAGACGTATGGCACTTCAACCTTATCTTGACTGATGAATCACTCTTGCACAAAATAAACACAAACGAGTTCTCTTTATCTATGTGAATATTTATTAAATCACAGCCCTGATACACTCGCTCTTCCGATTTAATAATCTTCACCTACTCAAACATGCAAAGTTCTACACAAAAAGGGTAAAATATCTAACTAAACAAAATAAAGCAAAACAGCAGTGGGTGTGTATGGGATCAAACCAGCAGTTATGGCAAAAATGATAATATGACAAAGGGATGTGGTGGTGAGTGGAGGTTGGGCCGCAGCTCCAAGTGTAACTCAGTTATACTCAGTCATAAAACCTCCCCCAACTCTGTGCGGGCTGAGCACACAAAGAGTTATAAAACTTTTGGCGGCAAGCTAGTAAGCAGTAAGGTTGAAGACAAAGAAAATGGTGAATTTCACCATGAGGTTATTATAACAGTCCAGTTACACAGCGCACCTGCGCACAGGTGTTTGCACGGTAAAGACACACTTGCGAGACACGGCGGTCTCCAAAAGTACCAGCGAGTTTCAAAACAATGACATGCATATACAAATCCGAACACATTAAATAGTGAATCTCATCGCACTAAAACCTCCTGTACCCTGCCCAGACTTTCTAAGAAAGAAACAAAAATAAAGGATGGGTTTTACTTGTCACTGTCTTCCTTCTGAGCGGGGTTGAGAGAGAATGGGGTGGAAGTTGGAAGTTAATGTGTGTCCACAGTTAACTTCAGGAAAAGCGGTCAATCTTCGTCCTCTGGCCTCCTTGGCGAAAGGGAAAATATGATCTGACCATCACAGTCGACTAGGACAAAACAAGGTGGCTCCTTGAAACTCCGTGGTTTTTTAGTTACGTGTTAAACTCACGTCTTCGATCGGCAAAGTGAAATTTCTGGCCTTCTTATTCCAGAAACCTCAGTTATGAATTCTTCGTTGGCCAACGAGAGAGAATAAATGAAATCCACTCGGGACTCTTCTCCAGGTGATGCTTCAGATGTTGGTAACCGTGTCACGGTCTGCAGCTGAAGGCAAAATGGTGGGTCGTCTCATCCTCTGTTATATAGTTGACAGTGGCCTCAGGGCTGTGACGCCCCTGTCTTATCAGCCACGGGGGCCGACGGGATCTGTAGGCACAGACTGTCCTGGATACAAAATCGCCGAAAACGCCAGGAGGCCTGGTGGCATCCAGCAACGTGCAAGTGGTCCAATATTCAGCAAACAAGTGGTCCAACATAAGTAACCCTCCTTGTTCACAGATGTCCACATGTCAGCTGTAATACTCACTGCCACAGCTGGCTGTTCTTCCATTTTCACTCATTCCCGTTCCTCCTCGTACTTTTTGGCCACCATTTGTTTGATGGTCTGAAAATTACACCAAGTCAAACCAAAATCAAATCAATATATTTAAATTAAAGATTAAATAAATTGGATATATCAACTACTACTTTAGATCATTTCCACACAAATCTTTGTGGTTGGCAAAACATATGAGGGCTGAAGGACCTGAACCAGTTCCCTGAACCCTTCACTCTCCACAATGCTGACGGGCTGGAAGTCCTTTCGGATGAAATTCAGCAGAGCCTCATCCAGCATCTGCTTCCTGAAAGCTTGATGGTTAAAAATGAGATAAAGAATAAATTAATAGGGATAAATTATCAACAAAGCAACTGTGAGTAAGTTGTAGGATGCCTGTATACCTGAGTTTATCCTGGGTGTATCTGGGACTTTATTCTCATGCCTGGCCCTATAATGCCTCAGAGTCATTTCAAAACAGTTCCTGTATCGGTCGCGTGACTTTCTTATAGTGATACGCGCATCGACACGGAGTTTTGTTCTATGAGCTCGACGCAAGCGCCGACGCATTAAGTTTGCGGGACCCATCACTACCCTGGGTCATGGATGTGCCAGAAAGGACTCTATTCCCCATTTTATTTCTCCATCATTCTCCTTTTATATTAAATGCTGTAGAAAATCAAGCACATCTAAGTGATTATTCTGATTTAATCAGTGATGGTAACACCACATAATTGTCATACAATGTGTTCTCATTTACACTGATAAATTTAAAAATATTCACAGTCACATAAAACATTTTTAGACATCTCACATCTCCCACTTTTTCCAGACTCTAAAGGACCCCACATTTGCAGCCAGGAAGGATTTCCAGCATGAGGCAGAGATGCTGACCAACCTCCAGCATGAGCACATAGTCAAGTTCTACGGAGTGTGTGTGGATGGAGACCCTCTCATCATGGTCTTTGAGTACATGAAACATGGTGATCTTAATAAGTTTCTCAGGTAGGTGCTGCTATCTGCTAAACTACAAGGTTTAAAATCAACAAAAAACATCAATAATACAAATAAAAAATTTTTTGAATATAAAATATTAATCTCCAGAATCTATGTTCATACTATTATACTGAACTTTACATTGATGAATTTATGTATTCCTTACATTAAATTGCAAATTCACATGATTTTGTTATGTTGTATTTTTCTGGCCATGCATTTAAATTATATATCACCACAAGGTTTCCAAAAGAGGTTAAAAAAACTGATTACCTCACAGTTTAACTATTAAAAAACACAAAAGCATAGCAATATATATATATATATATATATATATATATTTTTTTTTTTTTTGTAGTTGTTAGTTTGTTAATGCTTTAATTGGAATTCACTGACCTGCACCACAGCTCTAAACTTTAAACAGCTCTAAATGCTGATAGTAGGCAGTTTTTCTAGGACAGGTCCTATTATGCTATAATGAGATGATGGAAACAAAAAGTGCAAACACCGCCTATGGTAAAGTGCCAGTTTTTTGTCATTTAAAAAATTAGACCATTATAAATCATTCTAAACTGCATTTATACTGCACATTTGAAGTTAGAAACAACCTAATAAAAATATGAATATATTAAAAAAGCATCTAAATAGTTGCAATTATCTGTATAAAGGAGCACATCTGTAAACTAAAACTTTGTTGGAGCACCTATTGAATGACTGCAGTTTCAGCAGTTTCTGCATGAGTTTAAACCTGCTATTAACTATAGCAGATCTGATTAACTGAAACTGAACTTCAGTCCTCCAAGTGCAAATATTTTGACATTGATTCACTTGCATCCTAACATCTGTTACAAAAGATTATAGGCAAAAATAATGTACAATGGTATAAGCCAGAAAAATGGTACAAAAATACCACTGCAAGGACTGGATGTTTTTCCAAAGAAAACATCTAGTCTTGGCTTAAATTTCCCAGAACCTTGTGGGAGAATGTGTTATAGACTGAAGGAATCAAACTTAACCTAATTTGGGCCAAAATTACATAAGGTACGTCTGGCATAAAAACATCACTTCATTTAACTAAAAGAAAGGGCATTCCCGCTGTAAAAGATGGTGGCCCATGTGTAATTTTTCTTCAGATGGAACTGACATTTTGTCAAGAAGGAAAATAGTAAAAATAGTTCCACATATCAATCAATTTTACCCAAAACTTTAGTTGTCTGCTAGAAGAAGGGGGATACAAATTTTTCAACATCACGGTGATCAGTATGACTAAATTAATTAAATACAGAATGAATTAGAAGAAACTTAAAGTTTCAGAACAGCCAAGCCATTGTCCAAATCAAAATCTAACAGAAAATCTGCAGGGTCACCTGAAAAGGGCTGAAAAGGGCTCTTGAACAAATCTGTCAGATTTGGAAAACTTTTGTTTTTGGGCAAATTTTGCCAAGTCAGCATGTGGGATGCTGACAGACTGCTAACAAAGAAAGATGCTTTAAGTTACACCTAAGCAACTCTTTTTAAATTATTTTAGTTTTTTTCTTATATTTTTCTCCTTCTACCTAATTTATTATTTAGATGAAGTGAGAAGGGCATGTGGACATTCCAAGTTTTGAAATTTTTTTTAATGGCGTTTTTCTAGAGGTCTGTTCACTTTTGGGAGCCATTGTATCTGTTGTACTCTATGTGTACATGTGATCTCGAGACAAGGAGATATGGACCTCTAAATTAAGATATTTGTTCTTCATTGAAATTAAATGAACTTAAAAACTAGAATCTGCTCTTTGTAAAGAGTTCTTTATTTGTTTTCGGTTTGAGGACCTATCGGTAATTACATTACATTATAATGTCAAAAGCATTATATTGTCCACAATTTATTTTATTTAAATGTATGACAAATGTCTTTATTGATGTTTATATAAATAATTTTTATAGTAGCTTTCCATTTTATAAAATTGATAAATTTATATTACCTTCTTAAAATGTTCTAAATTCTAAGAGAGGTGAACCTGCTGAATTTGAGCAGTCCTTCAAATGTATCCAGTAAAGGAAAAGCCAAACATAAACCAGGGAGATTTTTTTAAACCTGAGTAACAATAAAAAAAATGTATGTCATTGAAACTGTCTTCTCAGAGCCCATGGACCAGATGCAACAATCCTAGTTGATGGGCAGCCCCTTCAGACCAATGGGGAGCTGGGTCTTTCCCAGATGCTTCACATAGCAAGTCAGATTGCAGCTGGGATGATCTACTTGGCTTCTCAACACTTTGTCCACCGTGATCTTGCAACAAGGAATTGCTTGGTGGGGAATGGCCTTCTGGTGAAAATAGGAGATTTTGGAATGTCCAGAGACATTTACAGCACAGATTATTACAGGGTAA